AAAATAATATTGATAAAATCAGGTCAAAACGAAAAGTTGACGAATATTTAGATAATTCACCATGACAAGTCTTGTTACACTGGAATCAGCAGCTGTAGCCAAATGCCATTTAGCGCTTGTCTACTTGTAGAGTACTAAAACTAAATTATATGGGATTGACGTAAATTTTTACACTTGTACGTGTCATCCCCACACAATTAGTTTTCTACTGTCTCTGTAGACAAGCGCTAAAGTGGCGCTTGGCTAAAGGCACTGGCTAGATAAACCTGTTACCTATAGACATCAACAAGTTGTTTTACATTTACCTACTTTGTACGCAGAGGTCAACGTCCTATCTTCTACATAAAATATTAAAGCACTCGTGTCTCTAGTCGCTAAGCACCATAGTACTTCAAACTTATTTTTTTTTATTATCTTAAGAATTACAATATTTGTCTAACATTGAGGCAGTCCCAGTAAGTTATCTACTATATAAAAATAAGTCGGGTTTCCCTTTCTGACGCTATAACTCCAGAATGCACGAACAGATTTCCACGGTCTTGCATTCTTTAGAAAGGTCTCGGGCTCCGTAATGTTTATAGCAAAGAAAATTCACTAATCACCAAACGAAATGTTACATAAAACGAAGCCATCTGGTGGCGAAACGGAGTTCGCCGGGTTTGCTAGTTAAGTATACAATACTTGTGTTGGGCCTGACTCGATCCTTTCTTTATTTATTTAACACTCTTAAGAATCATAGCTTCCAGATCTGTAAATAACCTAATTAAAGGAAAACAACAAAAAGTAAAGTATAGATACAGAAGAAAAAAATTCAATTTGAATTTGAATACTAAAAAATATGTTTAAGCAACATAATACTATATTAATGACAATCAATTTATTGAATACTCATAAAAACTTAATATGGATGACATTCTATCTCATAATAACAACATAAAAAAACACAAGGAAGTATCTATTTTCGATATAGACAAAAAGACGGTATTGTCTTAATCAATTTACGTCTGAATGTATTATATTAAAACGTTGTAATGGAAAATTCGCGTAACAATAGACCGGTAATGAAATATGATCAGTGTTTTCCAAATTAAACCTGCTCACTTTGATTACCTACTTTACTGCAATAAGAGAAGAGCAAGCAAGAAACCCTATTCGTTACTCTTTTATAAAAATAAGTATGTTCAAAACTTTTTAAGATTTTCTCCTGTGGCGTGGGAGCGTCTACAAACATACAATTTCACACACACTCATGACACCTAAACCCGAACAGTTTGTGGATCACACAAACAGTTGCTCCGTGCGGGAATAGAATCACACGTGGTTGCTGGTTGTCCAGCCACCGCACCAATCGTGCAGTCGACTTATTACCATAAGACCATTTTATGACACTTTTAGAATGAACACACTTCTTTAACACGTCTCTCGAACATGGGTGATTAGCAAAAAATTGGCGATACGTTTAGTATATGTCTTACTAGCGGCCCGTCCCGGCTTCGCACGGGGGGACTTAAGATTTTTTACATAGTTTTACGTTTTATTTATATTTAATTTATTCTCAGTTTATTATTTTTGAAATAGTACATAAGTACTTACCTAATAGGTACCTTTTGGATGAATTAATAGTCTTTAGGTAACCGATTGAACAATTCAAAAGTTATCTAGAGCAAACTTTTATAAGGATTGAACCATTCATTTAAACTATTGTTATGGGTAAACTATAAAAGGTAGACATATGCTCTCGCGGACTTTTTTAAAAATAATGTTAAGATGAACAATTCATCCATAGAGCATTTTTGTATAACTTTAACTATATGCTCAGCGCACGCCACGGAAGGCCTCAGAAACGATACTTTTTCCCCGTTTTTAAAACATTTTTGGTTACTGCTCCACAACTATAAGACCTAGCGTGATATTATATAGCCTATGTTACTTCTGAATAATGCAGCTTTCTAATGGTGAAAAAATTATTGCAATCGGTCCAGTAGTTTTTGAGTTTATTCATTACAAACATACAAAAATACAAAAATACAAAAATACAAAAATACAAATCTTTCCTCTTTATAATATTAGTATAGAAGTATAGATTAGGTATGCATATCTAGTAAAACTCCCTAAGTCTTTTCCCCAAAAAGCTTAAGCTTTTTGAAGGTTTCGCCCTGTCAACAACAACGGTAACAACAACGGTAGGTATGCATATC